AAAAAAAAAAAAAAAAACTGGAACAGGGGCACCTGACTAGCTCAACTGGAAGAGCATGCAACTCTTGATCTCTGGGTCATGAGTTTGAGCCCAATACTGGGTATAGAAATCACTAAAAAAATAAATAAATAAACTTAAAAAATATTAAGTGAAACATAAATCTATCTGTATTACTGAAGTAAAAAACATGCATAAGAGAAGTGAGATGTGGCTTTTGACTCAGTGAACAGCATCTATAGCTACTGAAGGATCAGAAAATTTTTTTAGACAATTATATTAAGCATATGTTTTCTTTATGTTTTTATTTTAAAAAGCTTTACTTTTTTTCTAACTACAAAGGTATACATGCTTACGGAAAAATATTTAAATACAGAAATACTGTGAAGAAAAAAGTTCACATTACCCACTGGATTAGTTTCCTATGGCTGCTGTAACAAATTACCACAAACTTAATGGCCTAATACAACACAGATTTATTATCTTACACTTCTGGACTTTAGAAGTCTCACTGGGCTAAAAATCAAGGGGTCTGCGGGGCTATGTTTCTTCTGGAAATTTAAAGGGAGAATCTCTTTCCTTTCCTTTTCCACTTTCTAGAGGCCACCTGCATTCCTTGGCTCATGGCCCTTCATCCTCCTTAAAGGCAGCAAGGCAGTGTCTTTAAATCTCTAACTCTGATACTGATTCTCCTGTCTCCCTCCTTCCATTTCTAGGGACTCTTGTGGTTACACTGGGCCCATCTGGATAATCTAGAATACTTTCCCTATCTCAAGGTCTACTGATTATAACCCCTAATTCCATCTGCAGCTTTAATTACCCCTTACCATGTAACATAACAGAGTCAGAAGTTCCAGGGATAAGGACATTTTGGGGAGACATTATTTTACCTACCACACACACCCATGATTTTACTAACCAGGAATAACTATAGTGAACGTTTTACTGAATAATTCTTTCCAGACCATGTCCCATGCATATGCATATAGAGATATATACCTGTATGCATTGTATTCATTTATATGGATATATAAAAATTGAATATTACACCTCTCTTTTGCTACTTGCTTTTTCCACTTAACCTCATGGGAACTGTGTGTGTGTGTGGGTGTGGGTGTAAATTTCTACCCATTATTTTTAATAGCTACCACATTATTATTTTACCATTAGTGTTTTTTGAGTATATACCATGTGTTGAACACAGCATTAAATGCTGACATAATTTAATCCTTACAACAATCCCGTGGACTAAGAACTATTATAACCACCACCATCCCTTCAGAACCAGGACCCTGGAGGGCATCCATAGAGAGATTAACTTGCTCAAGAGACACTCATCTGGTTAGTGGTAGTTCTCACTTTACCTCATAACATGCTCTGAACTACAGGGTGGCCTGCCTCTCGCAGGATATGCCACACAGCTGTCCCTTGGATTATTTAAAACCAGTGTCCCAGGGCACCTGGGTGGCTCAGTTCGTTAAGTGTCTGACTTCAGCTCAGATTATGATCTCATGGCTCCTGAGTTCGAGCCCCACATCAGGCTCACTGCTGTCAGCACAGAGCCCACTTTGGATCCTCTGTTCTCTCTCTCTCTCTGCACCTCCCCTGCTCATGCTCTTTCTCTCTCTCTCTCTCAAAAATAAATAAACGTTTGAAAAAAATTATAAATAAAAAATAAAACTAATGTCCTACCATAAACCATTTTGGCTCTTTGTAATATTTTACTATTTAAAATAGAACTGAAATAAACAAGATCATGCTAGTGTCCGTGGATACACCTGTAATGATTTTTTAAGAAACAGTTCTTAGAAGTATTGCTATATGCTAAGTCTTCTTATGTGTATTTCCAAATTGTCTGGAGGACAAGGTATAGTATACTATTCACACTCCTAGTGTCAACATTTTGAATTATTATTCTTTTTAATCTTAACAATATGGTGAGGAAAATTTATTTTTTTTGACTGCTAATTTCTTTAAATGTTCCTTCAATATGGGATTTTTTTTTTCTTTTATGAAGTGCTTGTTCATGTTGTTTGCCTAGATTTCTATTTGGGGATTAATAAAGTTCCTTTTGAAAAGGATGGTTTGGATTTTGTAAAGGTCATCCCACATAAAAGGAACTATGAGTCAAAGTAGAAGCTGGAAATACCTCAGAAAGCATGTTCAGGACAAAGAATAGGAACAAGAAGGAAATAGACACAAAATCTAAAAAAAAAAAAAAAATCCAGTAAGGGCGGAAGGGGGCACTGAGTGCCCCCTTAGGGATTGTCCTCATTCATAGACAATGAGAGCAATATGGTCCAAATGAGGTAGTAGAAAGAACATTCTGGTAACAGCATAAAGGTTGGCTTGGGATGGTCCAGTCTATGTAGCTCAAGGAAAGAGGAATTTAGGGTGCCTGGGTGGCTCCGTCATTGAGCATCTGACTTTGGCTCAGGTCATGATCTCACAGTTGGTGAGTTCAAGTCCCACATCAGGCGAGCTTGTCCCCCATTTAGGGTGAGCACAAGCCCTGCTCCGGGTAAAGTATGACCCCTGGGTGAGTCCCACTTCTCTCTCTCTCTCTGCCCCTCGCTCACTTGCACCCTCTCTCTCTCTAAAAAAAGAAAGAAAGAAAGAAAGAAAGAAAGAAAGAAAGAAAGAAAGAAAGAAAAAGAGCTACAGGTCTGTAGGAACCCAAGGGGACATAAAGAACCCACAGAGCTGCCACAGCCCTGCACCATGCCCACGCTGACTGCCGAGCAGTTACAGACTGCAGGAGGCAGCGGCTCCCACTCCTGCCATCTCTGCAGCCACCAAAACGGCTGGGACTTGCACTCAACTATGGTGGTCTGAAACTGCCACTCCTGGAGAATGGCTTCCAGCCCGCTAACGTCCCACTAGTGTCCCCTGTTGGTGGACCGTAGGAAACCATCTGGCAAGAGTATTTGAGAAATGTAGTTTTCAGGTTTTGGCCCCTGCCACACAGAGGGGTGCACAGAAAAGCAGGGAGAGATCTGAATGCCAATAGACCAAGTCTAGCAGAAGAGGGGACCCAGGAGATGTTCACGGCCAGGATATGGCTCTCCCTGGAAGGAGGTCTGGATTCTGGAACTAGTTTTGTTATTGGTGTGCCACGTCTTCTCCAAGGCAGTATAGCATAGTGACTCAGGGCATAAGCTCAGTGTCGTCCTTTGAAAGTGGAAAATAATACCTAGCTCAGAAGATATTTTAAACGTTAAATGGGTTACTGTAAAGGACTTAGGAGGTGCCTGAACGTAGTAAGCATTTAACAAATGATGGCTGTTGTCATTGTTACTATCATTTTAATTTTGCCATCTGTAAAGTTATAAGAGGAGGATTAAAGCATCTTTGCTGATTTCTCACCAATCAGAGGAAAGGGGAACTAACAGTGGCCCTCAGTCTGAGCCTGGCACTGGGCGGAATTTTCGAGGTGCAGAGAAAAAGAAATAATATCCCTGCCTCCAAGAGCTCATCGTTTGACAAGAAGACAGAGGGGAATCACTGATTCAACGTAAAAATGTGCTCAGTGATAGACCAGAAGATACAGGGAAGGTTCTAGAAGAGGGTTTTTGCAGCATAGTGGAGAGCTTTACAAAGACTCCACTTTAAATCCAAAATTATGTTCTGTCACCCTGGGCAGATCGCTTAGTCACCCCTGCCTGTTTCCTCCACTGTAAAAGGGGAGATCGTACTTGAACCTGCCTCACAAAGCCTTTGTGGAAATTAAGCCAGCTGCTGTCCAGAAAGCTCATCCTGTAGTACCTGACACAGAAGTGTGTTCAAAAGCGATCGTTAGTATGATTCCAGTGGCCCAAGAGAAATCCGGGACCCAGGCTAAAGAAATGCAAACTGAAGGAGGAAAGGGCGGCTGAAGAGCGGCCCAGCCCTCCAGGATCGCTTAATTATTGTGGTTGAAATTTCTTTTAACTTCAGGTTCTTTTACTTGGGAGGTATCTACCCCAGGGGGCGCCCGAGGCCTTCGCGTCTCTGTTGCCCGTGGCAACCGGCAGCCCCGGCGGCGTCAGGCCTGGTAGGCAACGCGCTGGGGCAGCAAGATGGCCCTGAGCTCCTGGTCCCCAGAGCTGGGGTTCGGCGGGAAGGTGCTGCTGCAGGCGGCAGCCGTCTCCACCGGCCCCTCCCTGGAGTTATGCACCTTCCCCTCCTCCCTGGGCTCCTCGGTCGCGACCGCTGCGCTGGAGCAGCTCTTTGTTGTGGGTAAGAAGCCTGCGGGTTCAGGGAGGAAGGGAGGAGGCCTTGGAAGTGGCATCTAGCTGGCACTGGTTGGGGGGTGGGGGGGGGGGGAGCCTCCCTCAGTGGGGACCTGCCTGCGGGAACCCCAGGAGTCCCTGGCTGAAGCAGAGCCTCCTCAGGTTCCTTGGGGGAGAGAGAGGCGGCTTGGTGGGACCCAGGGTTCAGCTCTCCTGCTCTAGTGCCACTAAAGTGACTTGGCCCAGCTCACACTAGCGACTGGTGACAAATCCTTAACTCTCAGGCCACTGCCATTTGCCTGAGACTAGGGTGTCCACCCACATTTAGATGATGCATTTAATTTCAGGGGTGTCTGGGTGGCTTGGTGAGTTAAGGGTAGACCTTTGATCTCAGATTCCTTAGCTCAAGCCCTACCTTGGGCTCCATGTTGGGCCAAAGCCTACTTTTAAAAAAACAAAAGAAAAAAAGATTATGCATTTAATTTCAGCGTCTCCCTTCTTGCCTTTTCTTTGCAAGTTAACTTCCTCCAACATTTTGCCACGGTAACGTGGAGAATTTAACAGGCAAACAAGAAAGGGAGTGTTTAAGAAGTTCCTGTTGTGTTAGACAAGGAAAATTAGACATGAATGTTTAGTGGATGCAAACATGATACCTTGGATAGGTCCAGGTTAAAATGCCTCTTCAGTTAGAAAGCTGAACCTGCAATCAAGGCACCTAAGTTTAAGGTAAGATATGGTCCAAGAAAGGGCGTTTCTTGTTTAGCTCATAAACCATTTAGGCCAAACAACAAAGCATCTCCTGTCTTTAACATCAGCTTCTCATGGGTTCAAGGTAATCATCTTGACTTTTATCATAATGTTACTATTAGTTTGGGATAGTTTCTTTTCTTCTTCTTAGATGAACTAATTTAACTTCACAATTCCTATGAGATAAGCTTGGATGAATATTATCATGAAGAATGTTAACCACCAGAGACCTAAATGAGTTACAGGTGCCCAAGGTCATTGCCAAATGATAGAGCTAGGGCCTTGAAATCTCTTTATACTCCATCTCTAGATCTGCATGTGCATTTAATCCCAGCACTTCGATGTGCAAATATTTTTCTGCGAATAATTTCTGGACTTTAAGGAAGTTTTTTGTAGGAAAAAAAAAAAAAACTTCATGAAGCCTCAGGTGTGGGTTATCAAATACGCAGCTCTCCGGCCTGTTTGCAAGTGGGAACAGCTTGTGCTCATTCATTCCATTAGAAGAAGGGGAAGGAGATAACAGGCAGTGCCTGTCTCTTCCTAACGCGCACTTGTTTGCAAACCCAGTAACTGATTTTCACTTGGTTTGAGAGCTTCGTTCATTAAGAGAATCCATGCTCCCCGGAACTCAGGGCAGAAATTGCTGTCTACTCTCCTGAGAGTAGAGACCATTAAGGGCAAGGACTCGAGTCACACCAACTTGGGTTGAATCTAGACTCTTATCTGTGTTCTGTGACCATGAACATATGACATAAACTCGAAAGTCAGATTTCTCACCTGTGACATGGGCGTCATCCTAAGATTATAGTAATCAACTTACATAATACATGTAAAACATGAATGGTGTTCACATGAATGGTGACAGAGCCAAGGTAAGTAAAGCCTCCTCTGTTCTCCCTCCTGTTTCCTTTCATCCTTTTTCCCTTCCTTCTTTCCACTCAGTATGTATCTTGTCTCCATTGCCATTGCTAATATTTCACAAGCCTCTCTTCTCATGTGCCTCCTACTTACGGTGTATGAGGGAAAGGAGACACTTTTCATATGTCAGGGAATGAAAAGGGCTAGAAGTTCTGTGTTCGTCACACCTACCAATTTTCAAACATTTACTCTCATCCCAGGATTAAAATATTGGCACAGAAAAAGAAGTGACATAAGGGACTTTTAAACAGTTAATTAAATGAGTGGGTTTTTTTTTACATAATATTATACTTACATGTATACAAATATATGTATATGAAAACATTCTCACACCTACATTATAGGCATGTTACATTTCTTCCTTTCCTAAGTATTTGTTGAATTTTTTTGTCCCATTCTATACAGATTCCCTCTTTCTATCATGAGAGATGCAAAGATAGGGTTTGCCTTCAAGAAGCATAAAATATATACCTAAGTTAAAATATTATGAAATAGGAAACATGTTCAAAAGAGATTCATATTAAGTACTAGAAGAATTCAGAGATAGAAGATATAATTTTCAGCTGGGCAGGCATTTGAGCTAGATCTAAAAGGTTAAATAGAATTTGGACTAACACGTAAGAGATCTTTCATTTTCTAATTTTTTTCTTTTTTTAGAACAATCACTGCACAGTGACTATTTTAAATGCAACGAAGAAGCTAGGACCTTTCTTAAGGACATTGCTATCGCTGTTAAGAAATTGGTATTGTATTATCTCTAAGAGCTATTTTTTTCAATCTTCCACTTCTTCATTAACCTTTAATTTAGCACCACCTCTGTTCAAGGTACTTGAATAGATGAATAGGGAAACTATTTCCCTTGAGTGAAGAAAATTTCTACCTCAGTTTACTGAGCATTTGCCCCAGTGTTCATCAGCTGTGGAATGTTGTCTGGTTTTCCATTCAGGACACTGACTTAAGGACCTGTGCTATGTATGGATGGAGGCCGGCCTGCTTAGGAGAGGCAGTACCTGTGCTAAAGGAGCTCAGTGAAGGGGTGGGCCACGTGGGCAAATGCTTGACCCCAGTGTATAAACCATGCATGGTGCCAATTTACTTAGTTCGTTATAAGCAATTTCTTATATAACTGTTGAAAGATTATTTGACCAGACAGTGCCGGTCAGTGAAAACAAAGCAACTCTTTTTTATGCTAACTTGGCCCCATTAAAGAAATATTTAAAGAATTTCCTTTTGAAGTGTCACAAACTGGGCCCCCCTGGGCCCTGGATGATGTTTCCAGTGCTTTCCCCACAGAGTGAGAATGGCGAGGTCTCTTCATTTGATTTTAAAATATTGAATAAAAATCTATACATCAAATACCTAAAAATGTAGAAATGTGGTGTAAAGTAAATGAGTTTGAGTCTGCAGACTGCTGAGAAAAACTCACCTCTTTTATAATTATATTTTTCTGTGATTATATATAGTTGTGTATGTATACTCAGCATTATACTTCAGGATCCCACTTAATTGAATACATGTATGGAAATACTAGGCGTCTGTGTGGTGCCGCACTGTGGTCCCATGGAAACCTTTACCTCTGCTTTGTCTTTTTGGTTACGTTTTTCTCCCAAGTTTGAAGGGGTCAAAATATTTATTGCTGCTTCTTAAAAGTATCTAGTATGACTCCATGTAATATCTGAGCTGTGAAATCTCTGTTTTTGAAAGTAACAAATTTTCACTATTCTGAAAGTTTACCCTGGATTTTTTTTTTTAATTTTTTTTTTAACGTTTATTTATTTTTGAGACAGAGAGAGACAGAGCATGAACGGGGGAGGGACAGAGAGAGAGGGAGACACAGAATCAGAAGCAGGCTCCAGGCTCTGAGCCATCAGCCCAGAGCCCGACGCGGGGCTCGAACCCACGGACCGTGAGATCGTGACCTGAGCTGAAGTCGGACGCTCAACCGACTGAGCCACCCAGGCTCCCCTACCCTGGATTTTTTTTAATAGACAAGTAAAAGGAAGAAAGTAAAAACCACCATGATCTCAGCATAATCATAAAATAATAAACTAAATTAATATAATCATAATTAGCTCTTTGATGAATGTCTTTCCCACTTTCAGGGAATAGATGATGCCTGTTTTGAATTTTAATTTTTTACAGAAAAGCAATCATACTATATATATAATTATGTTACCTGCTTTTTATTACTCATAAAATATAATGGATTTCTCAGGTCATAAAATAACTATATCCATTACAACCATTTACTGAAGAGATGATTTATCTATTTTTTTCCACTAACATTTTTGGATGGTTTTCTTTTTTTCTTTAAAAAAATTTTTTTTTTTTAACATTTATTTATTTTTGAGACAGAGAGAGACAGAGCATGAACGGGGGAGGGTCAGAGAGAGGGAGACACAGAATCTGAAACAGGCTCCAGGCTCCGAGCTGTCAGCACAGAGCCCGACGCGGGGCTCGAACTCACGGACCCCGAGATCATGACCTGAGCCGAAGTTGGCCACTCAACCGACTGAACCACCCAGACACCCCGGTTTTCTTTCTTTAAAAATAAGCCCCACCAAAAAAAGGTCAAGAATCTCCACCAGACTATTTGTTTAGATTTGTAGGTATGTATTAAAAAAAGAAAAAAGAAAGAAAAAAATTGTTCTTTTTATACCTAAGCATATTTCTAGAGGCATTTTCCATTTTTTAATGAAGGAGATTTTTCTCAGCATTACCCTTTTTGTTGGAGTCTTTCCTTTTAAGTTGATTGAAACTGCATGCAAGAAACAAAGAAACATGATTTCTGAGAAGGCAATCTGCAAAGATTAAAAGATAAATTAACAATGACACCTTAAAAACTGATTATGGAATAGTTATTTTTCTATTCCAAATAAAAATAAAAGCAGAAGGTATTGAATGAAAATCAAAGTTTGATCTCTGAAAATGTTTATAATGGGGCATTGCCTGGGAAATCAATTTTATTATTTTAATGCTTTAACTTTTTAAATATGTAATTTAAAATTTCAGGAAGAAATGAGAAAAGCCACAATTGATCTCCTGGAAATTGAAAGCATGGAACTCAGCAGACTATATTTCCTACTGGAAACTCTTCCCAATAGCATTGGCAGAGAATTGGAAGGTACTTTAAGGTTATCAACTGTGGAAACTTAGTTTATCTTAGAAGAAAATTGAGCCTACTGCTTGTAATAAGACAAGTTGAATCATTATTTTCTGTCAAAATGTAGCTAGAAAAAATACACTACACAAACACAGATCCATCATCATTCTCCCTCATATTGTAAGTGGAAATGATATATATAAAACTTGAACTTATATATTTTAGTTTCTAAATAGACTAAAGATATCTGGATTAGCCCGTTCCAAATTGGTATTTATCGAATTAAATTAGGCAACTTGACTCACCTAAACCACCATCCTACTTTCTGTCCCTGTAAGTTTAGAGACTATATAGGTACCTCATATAAGTGGAACCATACAGTACTTTCCTTTAGTGACTAATTTCACTTGGCATGTCTTCGAGTTTTATCCACGTTGTAGCATGTGTCAGAATTTTCTTTCATTTTAAGGTCGAACGATATTCCACTGTGTGTGTACCATGTTTTTTTACCTGTTCATCCACTGATGGCCCCTTGGGTTGTTTCTACCTTTTAGCTATTGTGAACAAAGCTGTTGTAAACATGAGGGTGCTGCGGCCCCTGTGTGGCCCGGTCAGTTGAACTTCCAACTCTTGATTTTGGCCCAGGTCATGATCTCACAGTTTCATGAGTTTGAGCCCCTGATGGACTCTGGGCTGACAGCGCGGAACCTGCTTAAGATTCTCCCTCTTTCTCTGCCCCTCCCCTGCTCACGCTCTCTCTGTCTCTCTCAAAATAAATAAGTAATTGTTTAGTTGATGCAAATGTGTTTATTTGGTGCAAATATTTATTAGAGTCCCTACTTCCGATGCTTTTGGGCATATATGCAGAAGGGAATTGCTGGATTGTATGGTAAGGGGGTCCTTTAAGTTTTGAGAAGCTGCCATACTGTTTTCCACAGTGGCTGCTGTATTTTACATTTCCACCCCAGATGTACAAGGATCCCAATTTCTTCACATTCTTGTTAACATTTGTTCTTTTCTGTTCTTTTTTTTTTTTTTTAATATAGTCATCCTAATGGATGTGAAATGCTGTATCATTGTGGTTTTGTTTTGCATTTCCCTAATGATTAATGATGTTGAGCATTTTTTCATGTGCTTATTGGTCATTGGGATATCTTCTTTGGAGAAATATCTATTCGGGTACTTTGCTCATCTTTCAACTAGGTCGTTTGGTTGTTAGTGAGTTGTGAGAATTCTTTGTATAGTCTGGATGTTAATCCTTTATCAAGTATATTGTTTGAAAATATTTCGACCTATTCCATGGTTTTCCTTTTCATACTATTTTTTTTTGTAATTTTTATTTTGAGAGAGCATGCATGCTGGGGCGGGGATGGGGGGCAGAGAGAGAGGGAGAGAGTGAATCCCGTGCGTGCTCCGTGCTGTCAGCACAGAGCCCAGTGCAGGGCTTGATCTCACAATTAATAAAATCCATGACCTGAGCCAAGATCAAGAGTCATCCACTAACTGACTGAGCCACCCAGGTGTCCCCTTTTCACTGTGTTGATACTGACTTTTGATGCACAAAAGTTTCAAATTTTGATTTAGTCCAGTTTGTCAATGTTTTTTTTTCTTTTTTTTAACGTTCATTTATTTTTGAGAGAGAGAGAGAGAGAGAGAGAGACAGATAGCGAGCAGGGGAGGGGCAGAGACGGAGACACAGAATCCGAAACAGGCTCCAGGCCCTGAGCTGTCAGCACAGAGCCTGATGCAGGGTCGAAGCCACCAACCACGAGATCATGACCTGAGCCAAAGTCGGCCGCTTAACCGACTGAGCCACCCAGGTGCCCTTAGGATTTTCTTTGGCTGCCTATGCTTTTGGTGTCATATCCAAGAAATCATTGCTAAATCCAGTGTCATGAAGATTTCCTCGTATGTTTTCTTCTAAGAGTTTTATAGGTTTAGCTCTTATATTTAGGTTTTTTATTCACCTTTTGTTAAATTTTGTATGTGGTATACAGTAAGGCTCCAACCTCATTTCCCTAACTGCCAGGAATATTGACTAAGGCTTGTGAGCCTCAGAGCTAAGGTCCTCTGCAGGAATTGACACCGTCCCCTGCCCTATCCTGGAGCATTCTCTCCCCACGTGCGGCCCACACTCTGTGATCAGTCAGTGTGAGAATGCAGAAGTCTGCCTCCTTGCTCAGTGTAGAACAACTCCCAAGTGTCATCACCGCTCCAAAGCTTGTTACCGTGAAACCTCTGCCTCCTCCAACCCAGTGGTTTAAATTCAAAACAAACTGGGGGCACCTGGGTGGCTCAGTCAGTTAAGCGTCTGACTTTGGCTCACGTCATGATCTGGCAGTCCTGGGTTCAAGCCCCGGGTCGGGCTCTGTGCTGACAGCTCAGAGCCTGGAACCTGCTTCAGATTCTCTCTCTCTCTCCCTCCCTCCCAAAGTAAACAAACATTAAAAACAAAACAAACAACAAACCGCAGCAACAAAAACAAAACACTTTTTAAGTAGATGTTCCCATTATCCATTTACTGCCTTGCGTGCAGCTCCAAATCTACCTTCATTGTCTGCTCGGTATTGAGAGAGATGGGCCCTGTAATTTCCCCCCTGTACCAGCTGCCACAGCGTTTCATCAGGAGAGAACCCTGGAGGGACACTGGAAGAAAAAGCAGCAGTCTTTCTGGTCCCAGGGTGCTTCTCTCAGCCAGCTCTTGGAGCACCCACAGCCTCTCCATGCCCGGCTCCTGCCATGTGTGGCTGTCCACAGTGCCCGGCTGCTTCCTCCAGTACCCCTGGGGCAGCTTCATGGTAGATTGCTACCAGTGAGGCACCAGCCTGTGAACAGCTTCCCTGGCGCTCTTTGGGTGGTTTGGCAGTGAGCTCTGAAGTATGGCAACTCCCTGCGGACAGGTCCCCTCAATTCCTCCAGAAGGTAGATTTCCATGAGTTCTACCAGCCCAGCATTTCAAGAACTTCTGTGCCCAGTGAGCCACAGCACTTTCCCGTGAGGCCTGGTTCCCAGGGCTGGAGTTGCTGCTTCCTTGAACGAACTCTCTCGGCCCCTGGGGGTAGTGGCTGCTCCTCGTGTCTGCTGTTCCTGAATCCTTTAGAGTTCTCTTTTCTTTCTTACCATTCGATCCCTCGTTACTCTAACCTCCTGTTGGAGTCAATAATTCTCTATACTAAAATTTCCCTGTTTTATTTGTAAGATTTCTGTCTCCTAATTAGACACTGAGTGACACAGTCAGCTGCAAAACAATATGCATGGTATTACTCTAGTTTGGCAGGAAAAATATGACAAACTCTATATACAGAAAAAAAAAAGAATCTGCTGAAGGGAGAATTAAGAATGTGTTGGGTTACTTTTATAATCAGGAAAAATATTTAGAAGGAAAGTAAATAGCATATGAGCTAAAGAGATTCTTGATAGACACTGAATACTTAACCAAGTAAAGTTAATTGGTCTTAGGTTATAAAGCTTTGCTACTCAAAGTATGGTTCTTGGATCAGCAGCATCTGAAAGCTTGTTATAAAATCCAGAATCTCTAGGCCCATCCCAGACTTACTCTCTCAGAATCTGTATTTCAATAATATCCCCAGGTGATATATATGTCTATTTGAGACATAAAAGTTCAGGATGCCCTGCTACAATGAGCAAACTTAATAAGTAGCCTTAGAAAAATAACCTCTCTCTCTCAGATGGAGCTACTGGCTAGTTTCTAGAGAATTTATTGGGTGGAAATGGCTAGTCCAGGACCTTCTAAGCAGTGTTAAAAATTTTATTTTTTTGTATTTATATCTATCATGCTTCTGAAGTCTTATGTGATTACACTGATTTGTTATTTATTGATGAATGATCACACAATCACACAAGAATGACATATGAATTAACACATTCAGTTCCCCCCAGAAAGCAGAGCCAGAGGCTTTTACACTGATATTTGGGAGCACCATCCAAAGAGGAGGAGGGCGGGATAAGGAGAGAAAAGCAGGGAGAAGAGAACGCTGATATGGGGTGCAATACCATGCTGACTGCCGCTAAACACAACTAAGTAAGTATAGGAATATGTCCCAAGATACACGGCTACATCTTCTCTGGACTGTCCAGGCACCAGCTCCTGTCTGTCATCAGTCTAGTGTTCACCAGCCTCCCACACTTCAAGTTACACGAGCATGGGTATGCGTGCATAAAGAAGTCTCATGGGAGAGGTGACAAGAAGGTCCTAGACTGGAGGTGAGAAGCGGATAGAATAAGCAGGAATGAGGTTCTGCCAGACCGCACCAGTCTGAAGTTGTTCAGAGCCCATAGAAAGCTGGTCACCATAGCGCTGCAGGAATTTTTACCTCAACACCCAGGATTCGTCGTCTCACCACTTCAAGGAATGAAGAGGTAGACGCAAAATGAACAGCATGGAAAAGTTTATTAGAGTATAAGATTAGAAAAGAAGAATAGTATGAAAACTGTCTTTACGAAGAAGGGAAATTTGAAAGTGAATGCTTGCGACCACAGGCAAGGGTCCTTGTTTTATAAGGTTCTGGTCAGCCCCCCTTCCCTTCCCCCTTGTTCCTTCTCAGGTCCCATCTTTGTTGGCTTGACAACTCAAGGTGCTGGGTTGTCCATTCCTGACTGGTTGGATTCCATTGTGTGAAGAGTCAGATGGGTCATACTGTCCCTCGTATGACCTAAGTTTTATGGTTTAGCTAAGTATTTTGATTGTCAAATTCCAGAGGGGAACCTGAGGGGGAGTAGGTGGTATCTGTTACATTCTTAAGAGGGACCTTACGCCTAAGGGGGTTTGCTCTAGTTAGAAATTCCCAGCATTGTTCCAAAATATGTGTCTTTCCCCATCCAGGGACCCCAGGTCCTAATCCTTTCCGTCTCTACCTACTTTATCCTATTTTACCCTATTAATAGCAGCAGATGAAATAAGGGAAATAATTGATAGGTAAGATTGAGAGGACCCAAAGGGGTAAGAGGTGTCTGATACAGGAACGTAATTAAAAGAGCATTACAGGAGTGCCTGGGTGGCTCAGTTGGCCAAATGTCCAACTTCGGCTCAGGTCATGATCTCACGGTCCGTGGATTCTCTCTGCCCCTCCCCCACTCACTCCCTGTCTCCGTCTCTCTCAAAATAAACCAACTTTAAAAAAATGGAAAAGTCAGTATGTACAACTGTGCTGTTTCTCAAATAATCTAGTGACATTTCCATTTACTTTTAAGAATGTGTCAGAGATGCCCGCAGATTAAATCTTTTTGAGATAAATCAATTACAAATGGACGTTACAAGGATGAATAATGAAATAGAGTTCCTGAAGAAGAAAATACTTGATCTGAAAACAATTAATGAAATTCTAGGGTATGTATTTTTTTTTAATTTGGTACATGAGGGAGTTGGGGTCTGTGACTGGAGTGTGAAAATTATCCTAAGGGGTTTGCCTTCTGTTTCTGAACTGGTACAGGGTAAGTAGGAGGTGGGTATCACTTCTAGCAGATGACCCTGACTGCTGAGGGGTGTGTGATGACTGCACAGAGCTGGGGAGGAGAGCAAAAACTTCTTTCACCACCGCAGTTAGGAGACCCGTAACATTTCAGAGGCCACCCAGCTTCTCAGCAGCAGCTACTGTGTGTAGCTCATACATGTCCTTGCAAGCCCCCTCCAAACAGAGGCACACAAAATTTTTGTTGTGATGTTTATTTATTTTTGAGAGAGAGAGAGACCGAGTGCAAGCGGGGAGGGGCAGAGAGAGAGGGAGAGACACAGAATCTGAAGCAGGTTCCAGGCTCCAAGATGTCAGCAGAGCCTGACGCGGGCTCGAACTCATGAACCGTGAGATCATTACCCAAGCCGAAGTCAGACACTTAACCGACTGAGCCACCCAGGCACCCCATGGTTTCCATTTTAGTAAAATTAAGTTTACAAACTCCAACACTAAAAAGAAGTCTTTCTGGGTATTTTATTTATATATATATACATATATATACATATATATACATACATATACATATATATGTATATATATATAAAATATTATATTATTATATATAATAATATATAATATTATATAATAATATAATATAATATATATATATATAAATATAGTATCGACCTTGGTATATTGTGGCTAGGTTACTTTCTTAAAGACATTCAGCCATAAACTACTGGAGGTCTGAGGTTGAGATTGGTTCCCAGCAGAGGGTTCTAAATTTTATCTGTAATTAAAGGAGAGATATATAACTCATATATATATAACTGCCTGTCGCTCAGATTCTGACACTTGTTAGTTTCTTTCCTTTATTCTGGAGCTGTGTGCCAGAACTTCACCCCTGTGCGCCTCATTTTCTCCATCTGTAAAATGGGGATTACAAGCTTGAATTTATGCAGCTCATGGAGGAAGAGATAGCTTCTAAAAGAAAAACCAACAAAACCTTAAGGACAACTCAGCCTTATGAGCAAATTTACAAGACGAATGCATAGATATCAGAATGTCGGTTTGTTAGAGGAAGAAATGTTCAAAGAGCCCTCATGAAACAAAGAAATCTTCTTGGGAAGCTACAATAATCAGGAAGTTGCTTGGTGCACCTGGTATCAAAGCATCAGGAATTAGGGGGAGAATTCAAGGTCCAGGATGCCTCTCCCATATTAGGCCTTCAGAGCACCTGTTCTGGGGGATGTTCTATGAAAAAGAAAGTACATGAGAACTTAACCCCTATTGGGGATTCACAGTGCAGATTTATGTATGGTGCATGCCAGTCACAATCGCCAGTCTGCTGTATGAATTAGACTACCAATTTCTAAACTAATCACAAGGAAGATAATACCCAAGCTGAAATACTCAAGTCAGTTGGCCAGCACATCACACCTCCATAGACCAGTGATTCTCAAACTTGGGTGTGCATCAGAATCACTTGGGAGTGCTTGTTAAAACACAAATTACTAGAAAGCTCCCAAGTTTCTCATTTAGTAGGTCTAGGGGGTGGGAATAAGAACTTGCATTTCTAGCAAGTTCCCAGGTGATGCTTAGGCTGCTGGTCCTGATCATACTGTGAGAATCACCGTTCTAGAGAAATCTTTATAGAAAGGCAAACCATAAGCATAAGGTGGGTTTCTTGATAAGCTAGTGTCCCCAAGGTCCAATCTCGTTGCATCCACTTTTCAAAGAATGATGCGTATCAAGATGCCAACACTCTCTAACAGGCAGTCCTCCCCTGGACAGTCCTCAAAAACTGAAAGCTCTTTGGGTGGGTTTTTCCTTAGGTCTTGTGTTCAGTTTGGGTGCTGTCTTCTCAACCCATCTCAATACACCTAGGTTTTTGTTTTTTTTTTTATTTGACTTGTTTTGTTTTGCTTTGCTCCTTAGGTTGATTCATTCTTAGAAGGAATCCTCTGCTAGACCCACAAAGCACCCATTATCTTACCCTCTCTACTCTAGGCTTTTTAGTGCATTTCCATGGTAGAATTGACTTCTGGAAAATAAACTTACCAACAACCTGTTTCCATTTTCCTGAGTCTTTGCACACAATCCCCCTGAACCAAAGTCTTTAGCCCTGGGGACTAGAGAGAGGAAAAAAGTCTTTACATTTTAGGAGTTTTAAAAAAGGAAAATATAGAAATGGTGCCAATTGTCCCTCCTTCAAGTCCTGTATTGTTAGTTCTGGGGTAGGTGTTTCTCACAATCATTTTTTTTTAAGTTTATTTATTTATTTTGAGAGAGACGGAGAGAGTGCAAGCAGGGAGGGGCAGAAAGAGAGGGAGAATCTCAAACAGGCTCCTTGCTATCAGTGTAGAGCCTGACGTGGGACTTGAACTCAAAACTGAGATCATGACCTGAGCTGAAAGCATGATTTGAATGTTCAACTGACTGAGCCACCCAGGGGCTCCTCTCACAATCTTAAGGTCTTTCTCAGATGGATGTGGCCAGAAAGAGGTATGTGAGGTTAATGTCTCTTCTTGAACTCAGATTTGGCTGCAGCTGGGAGAGGGTAAGAGCATTCAAATTAGTTTTCAAGCTTCTTCTGAACACTCAAGATAGACTTTCCCCTCTCGTCTCTGACTCCTGTCTGTCAGAGGAAGGCTCTCTTTCTCCTGGGTCCTCCGTGCAGGACAATGGCGTAAGAAGGTGGCTGGAGGGGATGGTGAGAGGTTTATCTTCCTTTGACTTAACTGGATGTCTCGGGGTAAGATAGTTATGACAATGCTACATATCAAGCCATTTGGTCAGATTCCATTCATCTGTTCAAAACTGTTTTTGAATCTCTGTACACTTGAAATGAAAATAACCCATAGTTATTTCCTGGTATGTAGGGGTGGGGGGGTGAGGTAGGACCACATGACATTTCTGCAGCGGTAAACAGTTGCAAGATTTACATTTGTCTTGTGGTTCCCTTTATCCTCCTCTCAACCAAGTTTAGGTAGTCACAAATACACCTCTAAAATAAGCCTGCCTTACAATTTCCCTCTCTGTGGTGGTCATCTCAGCAAACAGACTTTAAATTCCTTTCCTCAAAGCCGTACGTTTGGGGCCATGAATAGTTCTTTCCTCCTAGTGAACAGCAAGAGGAGCTGGTGAGGAGGCACGAAAAGTTGGTGCTGTCACTCAACCACACGATGGAAGAAAAAGCTGCTGTCACTGTTTACATCAATGAGACTTACACCAAAATAAACTCGGAGAAAAAAGAGTTAGAATTCCAAAACCAACGTCTCAAAGAAATACAGGAACAAATGGAAAAAGAAAAAGCAAAATATTTGGCAAGAAAACAAAAATTGAATCAAGAGGTAAGTGACGCCATTTCCTTTTTTAAAAAAATACAGAATTGTACAGAATCGCAGGCAGGAAAGGGGAAATCATTTACGTGTTCTCAAGGCTAGTAAGCGTTCTGTGTGGTATCTGCTGTGAACACTGGGATGGGACTAGAGCAGAGACCCAAGCACAATGGAGCCCCTTGGGGAAGACACTGATGTGTCATAGCATCTCAGCTCATGGGAAAGATTATGAGTGACAGGATTTGTAACACTGGGGTGGCCCCTTGCTCATATAGGGACTTGTCCCCTATAGGGACAAGGAGTTTGTCTCCATGGCATCTCGTTGCCTCTGACCGTTCTGAGGCCATGTCTCTATGGACAGGACTGGGGAGGGAGTTCAGCCCTGATGGAGGCTTCAGCTCCTACTGAATGAATCTGAGCACAGCAGCCTGCAGAGGGGCGAGGCAGAACCCAGGGCTCCAGCAGAAAAGAGTATTTTGAAGGGCACCTGGGTGGTGGCTCTGTCAGTTAAGCACAGACTTCAGCTTAGGTCATGATCTCATGGTTCACGAGTTTGAGCCCCGTGTCAGGCTCTGGGCTGACGGTTCAGAGCCTTGCCTGCTTTGGATTCTGTATTTCCCTCTTTCTGCCTCTCCTGCTCATGCCGTCTTTCTCTTAAAAAATAAATATTAAAAAAAAATTTTTTAAGAGAATTTTGAGATTAGCAGTATTGGGAGGGTGGAGTGAGAATAACTATTGCATTTTGTTGTCTGCTAGACTGTGTTAATTAAAATTCACCACCAGAATGGCTTGTGATCGTTCCTCTCTGTTCTGCTCCAGTTACCCCAGGAGCGGCAGGCCTATCTCTATAGGAAGTGTTCTAGTAGTCTTCCCTATCCCCCAGGTGTGGCCGCCTAGCTCCTGATGAGAATTGCTGTTGAGTTCCTGCCTCTTCCCTGTGCATGATGGGAACGGGCATAACTTAATGCAGAAAATTGGCCAGGGCTCACAGCCCTGCTGGAAGGAAAGTTGGAAGATTTGTTAAATTGCCTTTCTTGAGTCTTAGTTAAAATTTAGTGGAATACATTCTGGCAGTGGCCAACATATGGTTCTTACAGTGACGATTCTCTGATAAGACTTGGACTATTGGGGCGCCCGGGTGGCTCAGTCGGTTAAGCGTCCGACT